TATAACAGCAAATGTTAGAAATGGAAACATGTCACATGGCAGCAGTTTCTAACACAAATGGAATGCTAGTACTTACAAGACGACCTGCTGAGTCCACAAACTATCTATGCTGATCTACTGGCAAGATTATGCCTAAATATTTTGTCCAGTGATGGTCAAGAAAAGCTTGACCATATGGGTTACCATCAGTTCAAGCGAAGGCTTAAAATTCTATGAAGTAGCCTAAAAGATTGCTAAATGACTTAAAACAAGATACAAAATTTTTTTCAACTAAAGAAGCGTATATTAAAATGTTTTACTTCTTGGCTTCCTCCAATTGCTGGTTAAGCAAATTGACCAGTGATTGAACTGCAAAAGCTCAAAAAGATCCAGATTAAGAAGGAGAAAAGCCAACCAAGATTCCTGTTTTTGAACCGTACACAGAAGATCCATGGCTCAAAGAATCAACAACTAAAAACGGCACTGAAGCAGGCTATTCGGACAATCACGTCTACGGCTGCTTTGAAAGAGGTACACATTAATTATACTCCCTTTCTCTTTTCCCAAATCCCATAAAATCTTTCCCTTTCAAATAATTATCCAAATTCAATTTGAAAATTATTTTTTAAACCTGCGTGTCTCCCTTTCAGTCATGACAACTGGCTACACATTCTGCTTCAAACTCATGCATTTCGCTCACTGAAAACAGTTTTTCATTATTTACTCATTTCAAAATGATTTATAGTTTGAAGGCCTCTATCAATTCTCTCCCTAAATCTTCTCTGCAGTGGAGAGTTTTTCTGATCTTGCCACATAGCTCAAGTCCTTCATCTCTATTAGCATTCCAGCAGATAATTCCTTGGTAGTACAGATCATAAAATACTGCTAAAAGGAGATACGTACACAACACTTTGAAACTGGCAGAGCAATTGCAGCAGACTTTTTTTTAAAAATTTAGCATATGGGATCCTTGGCTACATAAAAACAGAAAAGGTCGAAACAAGAAAGTTACTCTAGCTTTATTAGAATTGCTAAATGGAGGCAAAGTTGCAGTTTTTTTGTCTAGCACTCCTCAGGTCTAGGACTAGATACCTGGCAACACACTGACATTGAAACTCACATCACATGTAGGCTGTACATCTCCACAACCGGCACACTGCATCAAACACATCTCATTTACCATTCACAGGCATGTTGATTTTGCTCAACCAAGCCACGTTTGCAAGCTCAAAGAATTGATGGCTAATAGCAGATGTAATTCTATTGGACAACATGTGATGCAAAATCTAGATCATGCTACAAATTGCACCTGAAACAAGGATTATCAGTCAGACTTGTAGTGTAATACATGCTAGAAGCTATGTATACACAGGATCTGGTTCTATGTAGACAAGAGGAATTTGTGGATACATTGTACTTATTTTGTTTGGGGGAAAAATAGGAGCATAGAGACTGACGAATTCTTCATTCCCATGACATTACCCAGAAGAATCAGCATTTACCTGCCTGGTCTGAGAACAAAGAATGGCAGTCACCTGTTTCTAACACATCCCGTTGGAAACAATGGCCTGACCAATCTGTTCTCTTCTCTTGCTGTATAAATTGGTGTCTTTTTCCAAGTCTAATTTCTTGCATCCTAACCCTGATGAAGGCAAGACGAAAAAGCTCCGACTTTGTGTCTCCTTTTAGCAATTTAATAAATCTCTTCTGCGTCCTCTCCAAATCCCTGACATCCTTCCTAAGACGTGGTAGAGGATTGGTCGCAATATATTACTGGTGATGATCAATGATGGTACATTTCCACAGTTAAATTGCCTGCCAAGATTCAAATAAAATGTTGGTGGAATCGACAGATGACCAGCACTGGTATGGCAAAGAATCAATGCTTTCAGAAAAGATGATGAAGAGAATGTCAAGAGCAGTAATTCACAGAATACTGCAATCCTCACCTATTTGCACCACCAAACAAATCATAGAACAGTAGAGCACAAGCCTTCAGTCCACCATGTTGTGCCAACCTATTATCCTACTAAGATCAAACTAACCTGGCATACCCTTCATTTTACTTTAACTAAGGTGCCTATCCAAGAGTTGCTTAAATGTCCCTAATCTATCTGACTCCACTACCACTGCCGGCGGTGCATTCCACGCACCCACCACTCTGTGTGGAAGGACTTATCTCTGACATCTCCTCTATACCTTCCTCCAATCACCTTAAAATTATGCCCTTTCATAACAGTCATTTCTGCCCTGGGAAAAAGTCTCTGGCTATCCACTCTATCTATGCCTCTCATCAGCTTGTACACCTCTATCAAGTCACCTCTCATCCTTCTTCGCTCCATTGAGAAAAGCCCCAGCTCCGTCCATCTTTCCTCATAACACCTGCCCTCCAGTCCGGGCAGCATCCTGATAAATCTCCTCTGCACCCTCTCTAAAGCTTCCACATCTTTCCCGTAATGAGGTGACCAGAACTGAGCACAATATTCCAAGTGTGGTCTAACCAGGGTTTTATAGGCTCTTAAACTCAATCCCCCTGCCAATGAAAGCCAACACAACATATGCCTTCTTAAAAACCCTATCAACTTGGGTGGCAACTTTGAGGGATCTATGGACGTGGACCCCCAAGATCCCTCTGTTCCACCACTCTGCCGAGAATCCTACCATTAACCCTGTATTCCGCATTCAGATTCGACCTTCCAAAATGAATCACTTCACACTTTTCCGGCTTGAATTCCATCTGCCACTGCTTTGCCCAGCTCTGCATCCTGTATCATGTACTGTTTTAAGCATTACAAATGTCACGGTGAGAAAGAAAACTGAATCAAGTATGCAGTCATACGATAGCTTTAAAAATGTGTTAGTTTATTCTAATTCTGAAGATCTTGCAGTTATACAGTACAGAAATGAGCCTGTCCACGTCAACACTTTCTTCAGGAACTTATTGAAAGGAGCGTAAGCAGATAACCTTCAAACAATGCAATGTAATATAACATTACTGAACTATCCAAAATCTTTCAAGTTTTATCTTTAACCATCAGGGACATTGAAGCTTGTTTTATTCCCCCCAGATGGTTAATCCCTGTGGTCTCCCGGATTTTGCAATTGCTGCATCAGAAATTCCAGGGGTTCTAAAATTTAATTGAAGTAATTGAAAGGATCACAATACAGGCATCACACTGCTACAGGCTTCTGCTTGAAGACATATTCCTTATAGTCACAAGGCAGCATGCTGACTTGTCAAATAATATCTTTTGCAGAGTAGCTAGCAGATCACTATGCAGCTTGAGATATCGGACACAAGTCTGCCAGCATTGATCTTGGAAGAGAAATTTGAAAATAGTTTTGACACTGTATCTGTCAAGTTAAAAGGTCTTCAGCAACACACTGTGTCCTCCAGCAAATTCTGCCTCAGCAAGTGTTACTTAACTCTGCTCTTGAAAATGTTGCTGATATGCGGATAAAATTGAAAGTGATGAAACAATCTCAAAAGATCTCCATTAATTTGTTTCTTAATAACTAGGTGTTAGCCATTAATATATTTTGGGAAGGGATTTGATGTAGAATATTGGTGAATAAACGATCATCAACTTTTTCATTCCTTTAAGCAGGGTGGTGAGGAGTCCTTGAAGTAGCACACTCCTTTTAGGAAGAGTTCTCTGATTTTGACTCAGTGACAGGGAAGTGACTGGCTCAGAGGGGAACTAGTAGGTGATGGTGCTCCTACACATCAGCGGTTTTGTTCTTCCAGATACTAGAGGTCATGGACTGGAATGTGCTGTGGAAGGAGCGGTACATAATGCTGTGGTGCAGTGCTCAAGGGGATACAATTTGAACATGGCAGATGGGATGCCAATCAAGCAGGCTGCTTTGTCCTACATGGTGTGGAGCTTCGAGCATTGTTCGAACAGCACCTGTCCCGCCGATGAAGATTCATAATATAATATTGGAATTTGAGAGACCGGATACCAGAGTGGAAGAACAATGAATACCTTTAAAATTAAATAACATTTTTGTTGTGTTGAAAAGGGGAAGAAGTGTTTTCATTTAATTTTAGATTTGTTCCGAGCATGGTTCTGGTTTAACTAGACATTTGTTACGTTGACATACATTTAAACGAGGTCTTCAAACACTTGACATCACACATAAAAACAGACATTGCTGGGAAAGGTCAGCAGGTCTGGCAGCATCTGAGAAGAGAAATCAAAGTTAATGTTTCAGGTCCGGTGACCCTTCCTCAGAACTTGACATCAACAGTTTAGTTCATTAGACCAGAAAAGGTTAGAAGACAGAAAGAAAATGCTGTTGCATCGTGACAGGAGCTCACTAATACAAAATCAGTTCATTTGCAAGTTCATTCAGAAAGAAGTGGTCCACAATAGCAGATGCTGCTGTTACTAACAGTTCCCAAAAAGTCTAAACTGAAAAAAAAAGCTCCAAGTGGTTTTGAAATCAGTGAGAGATAAGCTCCAGAAATACAAGGCTGTTGAGGTGTCAGAGAAAGACACCCTATAAAAAGTGATTGATGACACGAATTTAAGAAACAATATTAAATCGTGAGCTAAGTTAGGATCTCAGGAAGTGAGAATAATCAAAGAAAGTAAATGAATGAATACAAACATTTGACAAAAAGGAACCAATTAAAACCATACCAGCTGAACAAGGAGCTTTAGAGCAGTAAAGTGGTGGCCCTTTCCAGACACTGGAAGTTTCTGCAAGATTGTTGGGATGGTAAAAGAGTGAATCTTGCTTCTGATATTTATGCGTAACATTTCAAATAGCTCTTCTACTGTGTAACATCGTTTGTGCTTCTCTTTTGTGTGCAAGAGACTTGTGGTCTTTTATTGAAAGTATGCTCAAGGCTCTTGAGAACATGTTCAGCGACTGACCACCAAATTGGTGTAAGTTTGTATAACACCCTTATTTCACTAACATAAAACATACAGTCTACCAAGTCACACTTCACTTTGGGTTCGGAGTTAGCCAGATTAGCATTGACTGAGACCAAAACACAGCAAAGTGGAGAGCATTCAATCGCAGTCTTATTCGTGCCTCATGGAATGTGAGGAAGGGGAATCAGGAGAACAAGTTAATCATTACAAGAGTTCCATGCCTCTGACACGCCCTTGTAACCAAAGTATTTGTATGACTGGTTTTCAAGGAATTGAACAAGACCAATCTCCAGAATGTTGATAGTAGGGGATTGTGGTGATGGTAATGTCAATGTCAATTCTAGATGAGGATTAAATTCTCTTGTTGGGGATGGTCATTGCCTGGCACTTGTGTAGCACGAGTGTTACTTGCCATTTGTCAGTGAAGGCTGGATTTTGTCCTGGTCTTGATGCATATGGTCTTATGGACTGCTTCAGTTTGTGCTTTTCTTCATTTTTAAAAATAACAACATCCATTTTGGACAAAGTATCCACGATGTACTGATCAGTTATCTGTTCCAATTCACATAGGAAGAGGAATTAAAACTGGGTTTCCATTCAGGAAATCTCAATAGTGAGGACAGCAACAGGAATGCACAAATAAAACATTAAATGGAACTAACTTGCAGGTACATGGAATCACTGCTCAAACTGCCAAAATTCAAAACTGCAGCAACATCAAGATGTATTACACGATTTATATTTTTAAAGTGAAGAAAGATTGCAATCTTGCCATAACAATTAATAATTCTATGACAATGTAAATTAGCAGCCATCTTCAATTTTAAACATAATTTGTTTCTTTGCAATAACGATCTTAGATCTCTGCAAAGTTACATTTCAATATCCCAAATCAGCAAACTAAGCTATACCCCCATGTAAAGCTAAATACTGCAGTTGCTGGAGTTCTGCAAGAAAAATACAAAGTGCTGGAGAAACTCAGCAGTTTCACCAGTATCTGTACAGAGAAAACAGAGTTAATGTTTCAAGGCCATTGACTCTCTTTTGGAATGCATTGGACTCAGACAATTATCTCTGCTTCCCTCACCACAGATGCTGTCAGATCTGCTGTGTTCCAGTCTTATTTTAAGCTAAGCTATGCACTCAGTAATATCAGTGATGAGGGCAACAAAGCACATTAAATTGTATTACCAGTCATTCAAAATTGGTCAAATTCAATGGCACCATAATCAATGAATAGCTCCACAATTTTGTGAAACAGTGCGCTTTAATACACTAACTCTAACCCTATCGCAGCTTTAATACAGCATAAAAATGCATATTCAATAACCATGTTTATTATGAATGCCAGCAAAGATCACACATGCACTCTGCCACACCCCAACAGCACAGAAGCAATGGAAGGATGTGGCACCAGCATAAGTGTGAATAATTTGGAGGAGTGGGTGCTACCCGGCTCAATCCCACTACTCCCAGCGCAGACCCCTGTTCCTCAATAACCCTTGTCAGTTGTGCCTGTGTCAATAATGATGAGGAGGTCGGTGCATGTGCAGATACTTGTTGAGGCTGGTCCTGTTGCTGACAAATGCATGTGAAGGAGTCATTAGCATTTTGTACAAACATGACATTATTCAAGAGCTTTTCAGTCAACAAGTAACCTTATATTTGTGTAGAACCTTCAAATTACTAATATTTTCCAAGACATCTTTACATGAGCAGTAACAAATTGGATTTGGCACCGAGCCACTGAAGGAGGTAAGTGCAAACAAGCTTGTTCACTGAAGTAGGCTTTAAAGAAGCATCTTAAAAGGTGGACAGTATATTTTAGGGAGGGAAACCTAGAACTTGGGCCTTATTGGTTGAAGGCATGGCTTTCAATCATGAAGCAATTAAAATTGAGAACATGCGACAAGTCAGAATTAAAGAAGCTCAGATATCAGAGGTTTGTCAAGTTAGTGGAGATTACAATGATAGGGAGGGGCAAGGTCATACACGTATTTGAAAATCAGGTTGTGCTCAAGTCCACAAATAGCTAAAGAGGGGAGACAGGCCAGGAAATCACTAGAATTGCCAAGTCTAACGTTAACAATAGTATGATTTCAGCAGCTGAAAAAGAAGTAGGAATGCATTATATTACTGAGGTTGAAATTCTGCAGGTGAATTTATATCCCAAACAAAGCTACATAATCCACTCCATTGTCCAAGTCTTAACATCTCATGTGGCTTGCTATCAAATTCTGTTTGGTACTGTTCTTGTGAAACATCTTAAAACGTTTTACCTACATTAAAGGAGTTACATTAATGCAGTTATTGCATTCTCACTTATGTTTTTGCATTCCCAATGGAAAGCGCCAAAAGAATATGGGAACCGTATTTAAATGAAATTCGGTCATGTTCATTTTCAAGCCTTACCAAGTATTGGTCAGACAACTAAAATCAATAGGCAACGAGTATTACAATAGACAAAAAGTGAACTTGTGTCATCCAATACTTAGGAGAAACAACTCTAAACAACGCTAGTGGTATTAATGCTCTACAAAACATTCATTCACAGTCATGTGATAAATCAACAAATGTTAATCATTGGTAGAGAGAAAAAAAACAGACATTTGCAATTCAAGTAATAGCATAAAACTATATCATTAACAATTTTTACAGGGATCAGAGGGTTGTTAATCTATGGAATTCCTTGCCCAGTGAAGTAGCTATTGCTACTTCAGTAAACATTTTTAAAGCTAAGGTAGATTTTTTTTGAACAATAAAGGAATTAAGGGATACAGTGAGAACGCGGGTAAGTGGATCTGAGTCCACGAAGAGATCAGTCACGATCTTATTGAATGGCGGAGCAGGCTCGAAGGGCCGGACGGCCTACTCCTGCTCCTAGTTCTTACGTTCTCATGAAAAAGTGATAGCATTTTACTTGAAAATTGTATACAACCATTCATTATGGGCTGCAATTTAGTTTGTTTGCTTCTCTGGCTTTCTCTTCTGTTTTAAGGAATTCAATCAAATGTTTATCTGGCTCACTTATTTTAAACTGAAACTAGCAAAGAATTATTTTACCAATTTTAAAAAGAACAATTGTTGCTATTGAATTTCAAACTCTAAATGTGCTAAAGATTTGTTATTTTAACTAAGTTCTCCTGATCCTACATATAGACACTGCTCACATGAATAGCAAAGACCTTTTCCATAA